ACGTATCTTTGTAACATCTATAATATTTAGCACTGTGCCTTGCATAGATAAGACCTAAAATGGTCATTTGTTAAATGAATAGGTGAATGAATGAAACAATTGTAGAATTTAATTTGCTTGAAGTAAGTGTCCTTAGTGGGGCTTCTTGGGTGGCTCAGCAGTAAAGAATCCATCTGCGACGCAGAAGACTCAGGAGATGCCACAGGTTTGATCCCTTGGTCGGGAAGATCCCCTGGAGAAGGGTATGGCAACCCATTCCAGTATTCTTACCTGGAGAATCCCACGGACAGAGATGCCTGGTGGGCTACAGTCCGTGGGGTAGCACAGAGTTGGTCAGGACTAAAGTGACTGAGCATGAAGCACGAAGTGTATAAAGTAAGACCAGTTTGAAGGGACCTGCACGGTTACAGAACAGAATATCTAGATTGATCAGGTGTATTAATGTTTCTAAAGCCCACTACATTGTTGTTGTTTAGTTGCTAAGTTGTGCCTGACTCTTTGGGAACTCCATGGACTGTAGCCCACCAGGCTCCTCTGTCCATGGGATTCTCCAGGCAAGAATACTGGAGTGGGTTGTCCTTTCCTTCTACTAGGTATCTTCCTGACCCAGGGATTGAACTCATGTCTCCTGCACTGGTAGATGGATTCTTTACCACTGAGAAGCCCAAAGCCTGTTAATGCACAGAAATAAGACTGGAGGGGTGTTTCAAAAAAATGAGCTTTCATATTTTCTTGTACTTTTCTTTATAATTAAGAGTTCAGAAATTGAGCCTGCATTGGTCTTAGTCTGGGTCCCACTTGAAGCAGAGTCTCATGGAGAGCACTTGGTGTGTTGATCTGGGACATGATCCCCAAATGAGGGATGATGGAGCAAGGAGATGGAGTGGAGGAGGGAAACTCAATGCCAGGTGTCTCAGGGCTGTGGAGGTGAGCCGGGGGAGTGCCTTGCCATGGGGACTTGCTTGAAGGCCAGGTAACAGGAGCAGTAGTCTCCTAGTCCTTATTGTCAAGAAGTTCTCCTCCTTTGCAAACTCTGCTTTCAAGGGCCCTGTGAACCTCTGCAACATCAGCAAAGGCCCTGCGTTTGAAGGCTGAAAGAGGCGTGGCCCACACTTGAGGCGGGCTCTGTGAGCACTAGGTGAGTCTGAGCTTCTAGACTGCCTGCCAAATCTGAGCTCAGATCAGAGGTGGGGACAGGAGAAACAGGAGACATCTACTATGGTATGGGTTTTCCAACACTAATATAACCACGAGAAAAAAACAAGACATCTTCACGAAGCAAAAAATTGTTCTCTGATTTGACTTCGTGAATTTGGACTTTAACAGGTGAGGTTATTTTCACTGAGATCTTGAGATCTTTGGTGCTGCAGTCCAGATTCTTGGGAAGAAGGCTCAAAGGCAGAGATACAGTGCAGGCAGTGGACGGGGGACTACTCTGGAACCCACATCTGTAGGGGAGGCAGGGCTGAGCAGAGGGAGAAGCTGAGCTGAGATGCAGCTGCAACAAAGCTTGAGCCGATTCCACGGGAGCTCTGAAACTGGGGTGGCCCTGCAGAGCTGTACTGAGTTGGTGCTGGGGGCTGGGGCTTCATACATGAGTATCCTCTAGTCACCAGATGCCGGATGCCCAGGGAAGGAACACACACTTGAGTGAGGCAGCTGAAGGCAACTGCAAGAGAAGGCTTGGAGCTGAGGCCGGCCAACTGGGTTAGTAGGGATCTGGGTGGAGCAGCACAGTGGATGCTTCGTGGCTGTTAGCATACTTGCCTTTGAACATCTGGACCAATAGAGAAAATTGAAAAATTCAAACCTAGGGAAAGAAAGCAAGACTAAATTTAACAACAGCTCTCTCTCGTCACTGTGGTAGGCCAAATGAAAAGACACAAGGAATGGGACAAGGCTATTTTCTCATATATCTGGTGGCCCACGTGTCAAATCTGATTGAAAAGTCTTTTATTTGCATGGCTAGTTTTTCAAATCCAGATTTCTGACTTTTCTTGAAAATTTGGAGGACCTGGCACAATGGGTCCACACTCTTCATGGCAGGTTCCAGCTGGAACATAGTAGCAGAGGACCCCTTTAAACTCTGTGCACCTCCTGCCTGCTTCTGGCATTTATGTCACTGCCAGAGCTCTGTCATCATTTGAGTTTGTGAACCCCAATCTCTGAGGTTCTGCCCAGCTCTGCTGAGCTATGATTCTGTGTGAATCATTGTGCATACTGCTGAAATGGGTATTCAAATTCCTAATAACGTCATGGCATCCAGAAAGCTTTGACTTCCTAGTCAAAAATGCATCTCTTCCTGAAAATTCTGTTTGAGCAAGTCAGGCCATTTCTTCATAGTCTAGCTTCCTGGCTTTGTTAGTGAGGATGTTGATGACCCTGATCTTGATCATGGCATAAAGCAAAACACTTTCAATGGCTGTAGTAGGGGCTATGTGGGATTTTTCTAGCCACTAGAATATTTTCTAAGTTTTAGTGATTCCTAGTATCTACTGAAATTTTGGAATTGCCTGGGCTATTTATAAAAAAACTAATTGTCAGGTTCTTCCAGGCCCCTCTGATTTCAGTAGATCTGGGCCCAGTAGTTAGGGCCCAAGAATCTTTATTTTTAATTTAATTTTAATTTTTCAAGTGGTCTTGGTCTGCAACCAGATTTAGGAAGTGTACTGGTTCCTCCTAATTTCTCCTTGTATTTAGTGCCTGGCTCATTCACTGTAAAGTTTTGAGCTCCCAATGCACAGGGATTCCTTCTTAGTCTTTTTATTCACTCCCATCCTTAGTGTTAATACCTAGTTCAGTGCCCTGCAAACCCTATGCACTCAATGAATGTCTATAGAATGAAAGATTGAATGAATAAATGAACATTTCTGAATAGCCTTCTTCTTTCAAAGTCATATGTTGAAGATCATTTGATTTAGGGAATTTATTTTATAAATATGTTGTCAAGCCAGAGAGGGTAAGAGTCCTAGCTTTTTCTTGGGAAGTTTTTGCCTTGGGGATGTTAAGAAATAAATGATTCCTTCTAAAGAGAACTTATGCTTTTCATCAAAAGATAGATGATTCACCCATCTAACTCACTGTATGTGAGTTATTTGTGCAATATTTCAAAAACAGCAAATTGACTCAATAGAAAAGGAAACTTTCTAAATTATGCTGAAGTTTTGCCTTGAAATATAAACCTTGAAAGAATAAGACCAAGAGCTTCTTTCCTACTAGGAGAGAGATGCAGTGATACAAATTTAATTTATTGTGCAGTGGTTTATTTATCAGATGCTCTGCCTCCAAAGAGTTCAAAAAGCTTATGTCTGCAGAGGGAAGGTATGGCAATTCCTGCAGTTAATTTAGGTTTTGAAGGAGGACAATCCAGAAAATTTTGGCTCAAAGAAAATATTGGAGTTATTTGGCTGTTTCCACAGACGCCTCAGGGTCCCTTTGCCATCTCTCCAATTTCTGGAGTTAGGGTCCTTCCTCAGAAAGGCTGTGAATGTTGCAGAGGTGAATTTGATTGACCTGAACTTGGTTGGCTATGGCTTCTGTCTAGAATGCTGGGAATTAGAAACAAGGTTTTCTCAAGTGCTCAGGAGTCTCTTTTAGGTTAATGTTAAATGAGTTTCTTGGCACTACTAATGAGTTCTTTGCTGAACTCAATTGGAGTAAGTTTATAAAATCTGTTCATTACATCACTGGCACATGTAGTTTGGTTTTCTTCTTAAAAAAATTTAAGATTATAATGTAGTAAACTATTCAAATTAATGTTGTATAAACAAGAAAATAATGGTGCTAATAGTAAACCAACCATTGATGGATTTGCAGTAGCACCATGCACTAGCTTGTAATGTTTTCTGTTAGCTATCTCCTGTATTCCTATATGGGCCCTCCCCTCTTCTGTCTCCCTAATGTAACCACTACTTTGTTCTCTATATCTGTGAGTCTGCTTCTTGTTATATTCACTAGTTTTTGTATTTTTTAGATTCCACATATAAGTGATATTCTGCAGTATTTGTCTTTCTCGGATTTATTTCACTTAGAATAATGCCCTCCAAATCTACTAGTGTTCCTGCAAATGATAAAATTTCATGCTTTTTTCTGGCTGAGTGGTATTCCACAGTATATGTATATATGTGTGTGTGTATGTATGTATGTATCTATCTATCTTACCTCTTCTTTATCTTTCCATCTGTTGATGGACACTTAGGTTGCTTCCAAATCTTGGTGACTGTATATATTGCTGCTCTGAACTTTGGGGTGCTTGTATGTTTTCAAATTAGTGTTTTTTTGGTTTTGTGGTGTTTTTTTTTTCTTTACATATACCCAGGAGTGGAATTGTGGGGTCATATTGTACTTCCTTCTTTAGTTTTTTGAGTTGCCTCCATACTGTTTTCCATAGTAGTTGCACCAACTTACATTCCCAGTAACAGTGCACGAGGGTTACCTTTTTTCTGTCTTTGCCAGCTCTTCTTATTTGTGTTCTTTTTGATGATAGCCATTCAAGAACTGGGAACATTTTATACTTTAAGCATTATCAAAAAGTAATTTTCAGGAAAGTGGCAATATAAGAAATCTGACACCATGATGCTTAAAGGTTTTCTGCATCCATTAAAAGCTTACCTTTTAAAAAAATATTTATTTTTAAATTGAAGGATAATTGCTTTACAGAATTTTGTTGTTTTCTGTCAAACATCAACATGAATCAGTCATTGGTGTACATATGTCCCCTCCCTCTTGAACCTCTCTCCCGTCTCCCTCCCCCAAAGCTTATCTTTGCCATCATTGTCTTGGTTATCACTGAGAGATACTTATTAAGGACCCACTTGTAAAATAACCTCATCAACTCTGATGGCTTTCCTCTAAATATGGCAGTCCATTTAGTGGGTAAAAATAAAAATTTCAAGAATAACAGTATAGGCGATGCCGAGAAGCCTGAGGAAGAGCTGGAGGAAGACGACGACGAGCAGCTAGATGAAATGCTATCGGAGAGACTGTGGGGTCTGACGGAGATGTTCCCGGAGAGGGTCCGGTCCGCGGCTGGAGCCACTTTTGATCTTTCCCTCTTCGTGGCTCAAAAAATGTACAGGTTTTCCAGGGCAGCCTTGTGGATTGGAACCACTTCCTTCATGATCCTGGTTCTTCCGGTCGTCTTTGAAACTGAGAAGTTGCAGATGGAGCAACAGCAGCAGCTGCAGCAACGGCAGATACTTCTAGGGCCTAATACAGGGCTGTCAGGAGGAATGCCTGGGGCTCTACCTTCACTTCCTGGAAAAATCTAGTTTGCTACTGCTATATTTGACCTGTCTTGGTGGAAGAAGTTTGAAAATTCAATAGTGTTTGAACTGCTGATTATTGGATTTTTTTTTTTTTTTAAACTTTGGCACATTGCTCTATAAACCTGGTGGCGGGAATTCTCCCCACATTGGCTCATGGAGAGACTCCTCACTTGCAGCTGTGCCCTCCACTGTCCTATTTCTTCTCTCCTCATGCTGATACCAGAGTGCAGCAACGCAGACGGTTACTCCAGCTCTGGCCACCCCACCCCCCTCACTAAATTACTCCTGGTGGAAGATCTCACTATTCCATTGCTGGGGTGGGAACTAATGCTGTGGAGAAAGACGTGCCCCTGCCCATTAACAATAGAATGGAGATATTGGGGAAGGATATGCACACAAGATAAAATACAAAATGCATTAATTACAGCTCTGCTGCAAAGCAGCCACTGTGAATTTCTGTGTATGTTGGAAAGGATGGAGGGAGGGCTGGTAGCTTCAGCCATAAGATGGGAAGTGGAGAACAGAGCAGGAGCTCATTTCCTCCAATATTTTGGCTGTTAGACTTGTGTGTATATGTGTCTAAAAAGGAAAAAAAAAAAGTCAGTGCTCACTTTTTGTATTTAAATATTAAAAAAAATGATTCCAAAAAAAAAGAATAACAGTATAATTTACACTAGAAGCTCACTCTCAACAGTTAAGTTCCCAGGTAATATTTCAGAGAAATCAAGTAGAGATAAGCTTTACCACAGATTAAAACCACTCCAACTCCTCTTTATCCAGCTAAGACATTCTCTGACCATTGAATTCAGACTAAAATTCATACTGTCCTCTCTGCAAATTAGCAAATCACATTAAAACATACTGATGATGTTTTGACTGGTGTCGAACAGAAGAATGCCAAAGGAATTTGAGAAGTAAAATATGGGATGAGATCATCTCTTGGGTTTTTCAGGAGATGTCTATAAGACTCTATCATTTTACTTTGTATCTTAGAAAGCTGATAAATGGGATAAAATTAAGATATGATAACAAAATTACACTAATGATAACAAAAAGACACTTTTCATTTGGATATTTGGACATTTTATAGTTCAAAGCAAGAGTTATCAATCTGTCCATTTCCAGTTTTGAAAGAATAAATATTGTATACCTGTTAACTAAAGATAAGACACTAATTCAGTTGACTATTCATTTTTCATTTAGTTACATAGCCACATTTATTGGACATAAAAATGTGCTAAGCACCTTGGGAAATTAGGAAAGGAAGACGGAGTTCTTATCCTGGAGTATAAATGAATAGAGTTGTCTCTGGGCTTCTGTTGTAGACTTTGGCTCATCTTAGTCTCTTGGATTGTAATTACTTGGGAAGCTTTTCTTCTATCTCCACCAGCACTTACTCTGTGCTCTTTGGAATGCCTTTTTCCCAAGGAAGTCAAGCTATCCATTCTTTTTTTCATTGTAGGGTAGCAGCAGATATGTTTCTCCCCATTTTGCTGATAGCAAAAGTGAAGTTAATGAAAATGTAAAGGTCGCTGCAGATAAATTCATCTGACTCTGAAATTTTAAGATTTTGCTGCAGGAAGGAAAAGGTTTATAAAATGTCAGGTGCAAGGTGTGTTCCATATTAGGTTCTCTCTTGTCATGAACAATGCTTCCTGAGAGAGTGTTGCAAATGTGCAGAATGGTGTTTCACTGCAGTTAGGGAAAAGAAATGTTAAATAAATTGGTGAGCCACACATTTCTTCTGTGACAAAAGAGAGCCCCCAGACTTATTGAACTGTGTTTTAAAAAGTCGTGCATGGACTATCTTGAACGTGAAAGTCGCTCAGAAGTGTCCAACTCTGCGACCCCATGGACATCCATGGAATTTTCTATGCCAGAATACTGGAGTGGGAAACCTTTCCCTTCTTCAGGGGATCTTCCAAACTCAGGGATCGAACTGAGGTCTCCCGCATTGCAGATGGATTCTTTACCAGCTGAGCCACCAGGGAAGCTGAAGAATACTGGAGTGGGGAGCCTATCCCTTCTCCAGTGGAACTTCTGGGCTCAGGAATCGAACCTTTCCCTTCTCCAGGGGATCTTCCCAACCCAGGGATCGAACCCAGGTCTCCAGCATTGCAGGTGGATTCTTTACCAGCTGAGCTACAAGGGAAACCCAGACTATCTTGAAGGCTGTAGTAAAAGAAAAAAATCAGTTTCTTCAGACAATAGACATATTTGGTGGAGTTCTTGAAAGGGATGTGGTAATTTTAAAACTGAGAAAACATTTAAGGAATGATAAACTCTCCCAGTGGCAATCTCTTCCCCTTCTCAACATGGCACACAATTGCCTGCAGGCTTTTTAAGTCAAAGAAGCCACCTGCATCTCTTATCCAATGCATCTTTAAGATTTTCAGTGCATGCGCGTGTGTGTGCTCAGTTGTGTCTGACTCTTTGTGACCCCATGGAAAGCAGCCTGCCAGGCTTCTCTCTCCATGGGATTTCCCAGGCAAGAATACTGGATTGGGTTGCCATTTCCTCCTCCAAGTGATCTACCTGACTCAGGGATCAAACCCGTGTCTCCTGCGTCTCCTGCATTGGCAGGCAAATTTTTAAATCACTGAGCCACCTGGAAAGCCCAAGATTTTCAATACTTCTGCTAACTTACGTCTGTGTGAGTCACATCTTTATTGGAAAATTGTGCAATATCAGGAGCAATATCCAGGGACTCTGGAATGCTTGTATACACTCAGACTCCCCTCCAGTGGGTGAATGTGCAATTTGAAGGGAACACACATCCCTCTGTCAATTAGGTTTCTAGGTTCATGAAAACAATGAAATCAGTCAGGTATTTAGCAAGGGGGAATATGAGACAATAAAATCTCTCATAATGAATTTAGCGCAATTCACCTGGAAAGCAAAAGGGTAGAGGCCAAGAGAAAGAAAGAATGGCTGTAAAGCTCAGATGGCTCCAAGAAATGATAAATAAACTTATTGGCTACTTTTCAGAACAGCTACCTAGAATAGTTCTTTCCAAATGAACCATAACCAAGTTCTTCAAAAATAATTGGCAGGAGTATTTGGATGTAAAAGAAAAAAAGCCTCTCACATATATATTTATATTTATTTTTCAGGACATCTTTTTTGTCTCTTATTTCTGTCTTGTTCTCTGAGAAAGACTGCATTTATCTCCAACTGGAAGAGAGGATGAGGGAGAACTTGGGAGGTTTTTTTTTTTTTTTTAATCCTTACATTTGAAACTGCTCTGCCTTTGACACGTTTATAGGATGGAAGAAAAGTCCTTTGTATAGACTCAGACTAGACGCTGCCTCACCTGTCTCTCACAGGCTCCCTCTTACCCTCAGCCAATTGCTTCCCACCACCCTACGGTACTTGCGCTGGCAGTAGGTCCTAAAGTATTGCTATGGCCTGACCCCTATAGCAGAGTCTGTTTTGTTGAGTGGCTGTAAAAGCATAGAGGGGTAGTGCTGAAAGGGCCCAGGGAAAGCTGAGGTTCCTATTAGAGGTCTGTGAGGAGCCCTCACTCTTGCTTTCTGACGTTTCCAGTTTCTCTTTGCAGCAAAAAAGCAGCTTTGAGTTCAGAGGGTCTTGAAGTATATTTACTCCTAGGAGTTACATTAGTCCAGGTTACCAGACTGGAGGCTCAAAGTCACCATTTTAGTGCTGTGAATGGATATAGTTAGCATGTAATCACCTTGGTGTTAGGCACATTCAAACAGAAGTTGGGGAGGTGCTATCAGGGGCCACGACAGTGGTGGTAACAGTATAGATTGGGCTGGTACGCATTCTCTCTAGCCCAAAATGTTGAGCAGAGGCTGATAATATGTCCTGTCCTTTACAGAAGGGAATACTTACTAAGAATAGAGGTGGACCAGAAAATGACAAACACCATTCAGGGAATTGCAGCGCTACAGATAGGTCATGTTCTCTATTCTGTGTATGAAGGCAGCACATCAGGTTTTGATGTAACCGCTTTGTACTTTGTGTAAGTACATCTCCATCTTGACAAGTGCTGTTTGGGGGCTGGTGGAACTTGACTAAATTTAAGCAGTAGGTATCAGAGGTCTTGTCCCAATGGTGTGCTTGAACCGGCTTACACGTGCTTGGCGACAGTCAGCTTTGTATGTGTCTTTACAACTCTGTGGTAAGTCATAAGTTGGTAGCATGAAACAGGCCATAGAAGGAGTATTGGCACCATGGAAACCGGCAAAGTCTACAAATCAGAGCTAGTTGCCCAGCGTGTCTAGGAGCACCACTGTCTTGAGCCCTTTCACTTGGAATGAATGGACTAATTGGGACTGAGGAATTCACTTTCGCCTGAGTAGAACTTCCTTTTGTCTACAATCAGCACCACTAACTTTCTGCTTCTAATGCTTCTCCTGTTCTGTGGGCCTCTGGTTAAAGCTCTCTCTCCTCTTGATTTCTCTATTACTTTCTTTCTGCAAAACTCTCTGGACACTTGCACCCTTTATCCTGTTTGGGTTTGTTGTTGCTGTGTTATTGTATTCCCTGTTTCTCCACCCAGAATGTGAGATTGGGCAGAGAGAGCAGCCGCTAAGTGCTGTTTAGGGGCACCAGCAGTGGTGGTAACAATGACAGATAGGAATGGTTCAATATGGGGCTTATACAGAGAGGAAAGTGACCTGAAAGGCATATTAAAATAATTTAAAGCCTGGGAGTAACACCCATTCAATATGAATGACCTGAAAGGAGGATTTTTTGAGTGTCATTCTGGAGATGTTCCATCATTCTGAGGCTCAGTTAATGATTTTTGTTTTTAAGTCATCACTGTTGGTTCCCTATCAAAACTGCTCAAGGAGTAGCCTTCTCTGTGGGTAGGAGAGAAGACTGTGCAAGAAGTAAAGGGAAGCAAGAAGCTGTCACTATGCACTTCTGCACATGCCAGGAGGGCCTTAGGAAGAGTTCTGGAATGGAAAGGAGGAGGGAGAACAGCTCCTGCTGTGGGTCTGTTAGCAGGAAGCTTTCTCCTTGGCTTCTTATAT